CCCCCTCCTTCCAGTCGCCATGAACGGCAGCTCCGTCGTGTCCCGAGGCTCAGAGATCAGAGTGGTCTGCAGAGCCCAGGGATCTCGCCGCCCATCCACAATCGACTGGTTCATCAACGGCCGAGTGGTTGACGACAGAAACTCGGTAGACTCCTACGCCGACCCAAGAGCCCTGAACGCTCTCATCAGCGAACTGACCATCAGAAACGCCCAAGAGGACCACGAGGGAACCTACTACTGTAGGAGCCGCCCCTACGGAGACTTGGACAAGATGGTCATCTCAGTGAGGGATGAGCCAGGTGCGTGAGGAAAACAAGAACAGAAAGAAGAGGAATGATGATGAATAAAATGTTTGGTATTTTAAACTTTTTAGTTGTAGCACTTTGTCGCCTCATCTTGCCGATTGGCGATGTTAACCACCCAGTTTTCTTTGGATTTTCCCCAAAATATGATGGCAAAATGCAAAAAGCGCTCATTTTACACAAAGTGTACACTTATGTGGCTGCAGCAAGCTGGATCATTTGAGAAAATCCGTAGATTATAATATTGTTTTTAAACCCTCCAAAAAACTGTCTCAGCAGAAGATTTGTATAATATACATTGATCCATAGCAGACGGAGATTGAAAGAAAGCTATTAGAAAGCAAAAAAGAGATGGTTTTGGTCTTTTTAAAAGTTGTTACTTTGAGTGGTGTATTTAATATGGAGTGTGGTATATCTATTTGTGACAAAGACAGAAGGTAGAGAAAAAAATCATTGTTTAGTAGTTTCAATAATCTCGTTTGAATGATACAAACAGCACTCAAAATTAGAAAACCTATTGGCTGGTGTTTTCAATTTGACTTATGACTGTTTGAAATGTATATTTGGTCCACAGAAGTCATTACCAGGAGGCCAACCGAAGAAATCACGGAGTCCTCTGACCCTGCAGGTGAGAACTGATTCCTGCCCATCACTGACTTCTTTCCTCAGCCCCACCCCCCTTTTTGTCATGAAAAATGTCTTTAGATATTCTTCATTATATAGCGTTTATGACACACAGTCTGTATGATTTTTTTAAGTTCTGCTCTAAGCTGCTGAAGCAAATTATACACATGCATGTCCACGCCCGCCCTCAC